CATTGGTCTCATTCTATTTCTACATGGTAATTATTTGATATAGAAAATTTAATCACAGCTTCACTTTCACTATAATAAATTTGTATTTACACTACACCAAAAGAACTGACTTAAATTTAACATGGAACTTAGTCGAGTTTGATAGCGAATTTCATTAAGCAAATGTATTTGTTTTGTGTTATTCCTATTAACTTTCACTAAAATTTACTTGAATTTGAGGGCTAATTTCATTCATTTCTTTTTCTCTATTTGTATTATTCCAATTACTATTAACTAAACTTTAATTATTTTATTTCCTGGAAGTATTTACTAAAATTGAAATTTTTTAACAAAACGCAAAGTAAATACTAAATTAGTAGGTATTTTTATATATCATCTAACCAGGAGGTGCTCTAGTGCTTTCGTAAGGGGATTTATTAGTATCTCAGTTTAAGATTTAAAACTTTTATATTGTCAGTTGCTGCTTTATTTTTTAGTAGAAGATTACTCTGCACTTGTTGCTTCTTTAGATATGATGAGAATCCAAGCTTAATGTTGGGTGTTGCCTTTTCTTTTTAATTTTTTTGGCTGCACTTTTTCTTTTTAATTTTATTTGAGGTTCACAATGTTAAATGGATTGTGTTTAACTGGTCTGCACCTGTCTTATTCTAGCTCATACCATAGGTGCTTTGGTTGTAAAGAACCAAGATTAAATAAATCGATCAATCGATAAATAAAAGTCTAATTGAAGTATATCTTTATGGCATCAACAGATACCTAATAGCTCTGCATCCTTAATGCTACTAATGGACATTAGCATCTGGGCACATTGTATAGGATAATTTACTTTCTTGCATTATGTGAAATGGTTCCATCCTTAAATTGGCAAAAAATGTTTTTATGTTACATCATTATCTGAAGTAGAATTGTTTAATATGACTTTTTCTACAGGCGAGAAGTTATTGTCACTTCGTCAGTCTTGATATGTGAGTTGGCAAAGGTAATTCTTGGATGTATTTCGTTCGGTATGAAATCGAATTCATATAGTTTAACTCTCTGCTTTAAACGTGTGTATTTTTCATGTGCTCATTAGTGATATGTGCTATAGTTCTCATGGCAAAATGAGTAGTTTGAAGCGGTACTTTCGTGAATGGACTTTGGTGGGTTCATTGACTGCTTCTGGCTTCCTGCAGCAATTTACGCTTTGCAAAACAGTTTGCTGCAGATATCTTATCGATCTGATCACTTACATTTTCATG